GCGCTGCTACCTGGAGGAGGGGCGCCGCCTGAGGGAGGAGGCGGCGCGGGAGAAGGCCAAGCTGGAGGAGGTGGGCGCGGCCGAGGCCATGCCAGCTAAAACCATCTCAGCATAATGACTTGGTCCACCTTGTGGCCTGCCCCCCTCCCCCCACACCTCCCACGCCCACGGCCACCCACCCGAAACAACACACACATGCCTCACTCTTTGAATCTGCGCCACTCATTTCTGCAGATTAAGTCCCGCAAGCTTCACGAGCTGAGCGCGTCGGCTGTGCCCTCGAAGTACCAGGCTGAGCTGGCGCGCCTCAAGATCAAGTCGGCAGGAAAGCAGTGACCGCATGACGTCACCGGTCAAGTGCCATTACAGCATCGACAAGTGACGCCACGCCCTCGGGCCTGTATCGTTGTTGATGGCGGGGGACCGTCTGTCGAAGTGCCGAGTTGTTCCAGGGTGCGCACCCTGGCATGTGCCCTGTCACCAGCCTGAGTCATTGCTGGCACCGCCCTGGCGTCGCTGATGGAGCGACTGCATGTCTCTGTCTGTGAGATCTATCTGTTGGGGCCTGCTTCGCAGGCAGGCTCACTGGTGGGGACTGTTGTGTAAAGCGGGACTCTCCAGGCCCTGCAACACGGGCTGCCACCTCTGTGTTGGGCGCTGGCACAGGCGCCCACGACCTGAGCTGTGTCTTGTGTGTTGCAACGCAAGCCCCGGACAGCCGGTTCGATCGCTGCTCGCTGTTTGCTGGCATCGTTCTTGGGCGCATGTCTGCTTGGTGGCGGCGGCATTGCTGCTCTGCGCATTTGCGCAGCCGTTCGTGGTAACCAGGGGGACAGATATTGGATGGCGACGGCTCACACAAGGGTGTGGCAGCCTTGCGGGCGCTTGCCAGGAGTGTGCTCCCGGAACAGTGCTTGCCGCCACACCTGACACGCGTCACAACGTGCGTCTTGGCTTCCACACGACTTGTTCTGCATGCCGCTTGCCTGCATCCCGTGCATAGGCCATAGAGGTTAGAGAAGAGTACCGGAATAGCGGCCTCGCACGGAATCCGTGCCGAGATGCTGTCGCATGGTTGTGAAGTATTGTGAGTGAGATTTGATCTATCATTTGGCCATATTTATGCCTCGTGTGCGGGGAAAGAGGGCAGCGCAGCTCGACAAGCACCATTGGAGTGACTGTACAGTACCTTCCCGCGTATCATATGCGTCGAAACGCGATTAAATAAGTACGAAAATACATTCAATCATATCAAATGATGAACTTTGGATGTCTAGGGCCACGGTCAACGTCTACTGCAGCCATGCTCCCTAGATTGACCACTATATATATGTGTCAGCTCACTGTGCTGGACGTGCTGGCTCAATTTTCACACCTGACAAATGCCATCCGGCATGGTACAGAGGCATGTTCAGTGCGGTGACATGGCATCCTGGCAGCTGTGTGGAGACACAGCGCTCTTTGGGGGGGGGGTCATATGTAGGATCGGCCCCACAGGTGGTCACCTGTGGTGTGGACGCGCTCTATATGTTGAGCGCATGTCCCACCCAAGTGCAACCCCCTGAGGCTGAAAAAAAACAAAATCGTGATCATACATGAAAAAAAACACAAAATGGTCCATGCCCAGGGGTTTTTGCTTTTTTGACAAAGTTCTCTTTTGACTGGACCAGGGCTGGTGGTCGTCGTCCGGCATACCCTCGATGCCCATCAAGTGGGTTGCTGTCTGACATGCACATGAGCAACCTGCCTTGTACCAGCACATAATGTGGGCCGTTGGCTGCAAGGCACACCTTCGGCTGCAAGCAACCTTTGAAGCGCTTCGCCGTCCATTGTGTCGCGCAAAGCGAGACGACCGCCAGCAGACGTCGCATAGCATCAAATAGCGACTGCTATTTGAATATCAGGCCACCGACGTAACCGAATTCATGACCGCTAACCCCCGGCAAGTCACCCAGGCAGGATACAGCTCCGGCAGGTGCCCCGCCGCCAGGCAGCACACAGGCAGCCTAGCCAACCATGCCCACCCCCTCCATCCCACCGTTATGGAGGGGGTGGGGGGTGGCCACACGAAAGCATACAAGACCCCTGCCAGCCCCTCCAACCCCCTCCAACCCCCCGCCGCTCCCTGCAACAAACATACGTATCCACCACCCGAAAATGACCAGCACGTTGGAGGTTACAGCAGAACAAGAGCACGATGACGTCAGCAGTCAGTCATCGAAAACGACCTTCTTCGGCCCACCCCCGGCAACCGCCGCCGCGCTGGCCTTTGCTGCCTGGAGCTTCTTGGCCTGCCATGACGGGTGTAACGACTCTGCCGCCGCGGCCGCTGCCGGCGGCGACGCAAGGGCCGCGCCCCTCCCGCCGCCGCGGCTCCCTCCGCCGCCGCCGCCAAAGCCGCCCCTGCCGCCGCGGCCGCCGCCCGCCGCAGGCCTCTCCGCGCGCGGCCGCCTGCTTGGCGCCTGCGAGGCCGGCGACGGCGCCGCTGCCGCTGCCGCTGCAGGCGGCGCCGCCGTCCGCACGACGGTGTCCCCGTCGTCTCCAAACACCACCTTTTTGCCCTGAGGGGCGGCGGCAAGCAGCGCCTTCTGCTTCTGCTTCGCGGCCCACGACGGATGCAGCGCCTCATCTCCCGCGCCGCCGCCCCCTGCGC